CACACTGGACCTTTAATATATTATATATTTTGTCTTTTCCCCTCTTACGGAGGACCAGCTTCGGTACAGTGCATACAGTGAGCCAGAGATTTAAAGAGGACAACAAGAAGGTATTTTTTTAGTTTTTTGAAACTATAATCCACTATATCATCAAGGTTTACCAGTGAAACAATCCATTATCCTGTAAAAAAAACTTTCAGGGATCTGGAAGATAACACAATGTTGTATTTAACAGCCAAACCCAGAAGTATATCCACATATCTTGGTCCAAAATCAAAATCAAACTGTATTAATTTCAAGCAATCCACTGTGAGAGTGTGAAGGAGTGCAAGAAGAAGTCTATGACTAATGGCATGAAGGTGATAAGTTATGCTAAATGGAGACCACAAATTAATGTGAGAACACAAATTACAAAATCATGCACACAAATGTGTTTTTTTTTTTTTTTTCGATTACACCTCCCCACTCTGTATGTTTGCATTTCATTTCCAAAAAGTTTTTTAAGTCAGAGAATATATTCAGGCTGTAGCACCATAAAATGCAGGGAAAATACTTCAAATAATTTATGAAGGCACAGTAAACGTGGGCGGCTGTGGCTCAGAGGCAGAGCAGGCCATCCACTAATTGGAAGGTTGTTGGTTCGATCCCCGACTCCTCCCACCACATGTCGAAGTATCCTTGAGCAAAATACTGAACCCCGAATTGCTCCCGATACTGTGCATCAATGTGAATGTGTATGAATGAGTTAGTTTCCGTTTGATGGGTTTGCCATCACTGTGTGAATGTGTGTGAATGGACGAATGTGGCATATATATACAAGTACAGGTCCATTTACCATTTAAATACAGACTCTGTTCTCATGGGTTTAATTTCAGGGCTTCAGTGCAAGAAACAATGGTTGATTAATTAACTACTTCTCATTGTCTGTTTTATTTTTTTATTTACTTTTTTTTTCTCCATCATAATCTAACCATATCCTCCTGCTATATTCTCACCTCTGTCTGTCTTATAATCTAAAACCTTCTCTTGGACTCAAATAGACCTCAACTCTCTCATCTATCTGATTCACACAAACACAGCCTGGAAACAAGCCAAACAAACAGACATATTCATAATAATGAAAATCAATTTAGCAGCACAAAGCAAAAGCACCTGGAGATACTTCATGCACCTGGCTTTCCTCACAAAGCTCTCATTTTTATTCTTTTCCCATGGGGCCCTTTTGGAAATAATTCTGTTTTGCAATCTTAATGTTATTTTTCCAGTCTATTGTGAAAGCTTAACTGGCTCAATCTGTTGTATAGTTACACTACTAACCTACTATCCCATCGCAACTTCAGGCTCCTCAAAAAGGAGCTTTGGATACAATCTTTATACAAGTTTTATTTCCTGTGTCTGCCATCCAGGTTCACATCCTCAGATGGTGTTTGGGAAACAGGATGAAGTTTCAGAGCTGAGTGTGCCACGGGAGACTCTTGGAGGCGAACTTTTTCATGCACCTGCCACAGTGCCTGGTGTTTTTATAAGCAGCAGTAATTTAAGCTGTGGTAGGCAAGATTTTTATGTAAAAATGCACCTGTGTTATCTGCCAAATTGTTGAAGTATGGCTGCAGTACAAAATAACATAACCTCTTCCACACTAATTGTGATACACATTCTCTGGTGTCTAGTATGAACAATTCTCCTCATACAGGAAGTGAAGAAATTCTCCTAAATAGCAGCGATCCACAAAAAGTCTAAAAGCTGGCCTCACATTAAATCTTTTGTGGATGGATTTTGATATAAAACAATATAAGAAATGGGTTGTTAATGTGCACATGCTGTGTGCAGTTAATTGGTGTCTTGTTAGATGGTTTCTTTGTTATGAAGGTCAGAGTTCTTCCTGA